CCGTGTACAAGGTATACACACTAGTTTTCAGTTTTTAGATGTGGAATGTGAATTATTAGGAGGACTTCAGGAAGTTTTAACAATGGTATATGTTCTCAACAGCATGTTGCATGCTCGTCAGCCGATGGGCGTACGCTGCTGGAATCATCCAAAACTTCCCTCGACAAAGGCAAACTGGAGGATGCTGTAAACTATGGAACTAAGGTAACACTCGTTTTGGTTGAATGGCACATCTTGATATATAATTCAAAGTCTCGAACTGATATTTGTTTTAATCGTGAAGGCACTCTCAAAACTCGTGTCTGTCTGTGGTCCTTACCATCGAATGACAGCTGGTGCATACAGTCTCTTAGCTGTGGTACTCTACCACACTGGAGATTTTAATCAGGTATTAGCTTATAATTGGATTTCTGAATTGGCTTCAGAAGCAGAGTGTTCTACTTCAGGGAAAAACTTTTTACAGAAATTCAGCATACCGCATTATCTGACCATATTTATTTCGCTGGATACAACACTGGTTTTCTCTAGTTTCCTTTAACATGTACGAATCGTGATTTTCTCTCTTATATCTGTAATGTTTCCTCATATCAGGCTACTATTTATCAACAAAAAGCTTTGGATATTAATGAAAGAGAACTTGGACTTGACCACCCAGATACGATGAAGAGTTATGGAGATTTAGCAGTTTTCTACTACCGACTTCAACACACAGAGTTGGCATTAAAGTATGTGGATCTGGTGTTGAAAGTCATGTGATTATTTTTTTACGATTAGGACATTGCATCATCTTGTATGTGAACACATCTTTATGTTGAAGGACAAAACTGAACTAACTGTTTTTTCTCTATTCAGGTATGTGAATCGTGCCCTCTATCTTTTGCATCTTACTTGTGGACCTTCACATCCAAATACTGCTGCAACATATATAAACGTGGCAATGATGGAAGAAGGTCTCGGAAATGTCCATGTTGCACTTAGGTACCTTCACGAGGCTCTTAAGTGTAACCAGAGACTTCTTGGAGCGGACCACATTCAAGTAATTTCTTTCTCTTCTCTATCTATTATTATGTTTTGAGTGTCTAGAAAATCAGCCTGTTGGCATCTTATTTTTAACCGAAATGTTTGTTTCCTCCAGACTGCTGCCAGCTATCATGCAATTGCAATTGCTCTTTCTTTGATGGAAGCATATTCCTTAAGCGTTCAGCATGAACAAACTACGCTTCAGATTCTACAAGCTAAACTTGGACCTGATGATTTACGTACTCAGGTAAAAAGTTAGTTTGTAAGTCTGGTCATTCAGTTTGTTCCCGATGATGATCCTCGTGTCAATCTTATTCAGAATTTTCTGCAGGATGCTGCTGCATGGCTTGAGTATTTCGAGTCCAAAGCTCTCGAACAGCAAGAAGCTGCACGAAATGGTACCCCAAAGCCCGATGCCTCTATCTCTAGCAAAGGTCATCTAAGGTAATATTCTTTTTTCCTATTCCATACTTCCATTATTTTTCTAGTTACTCTTGGGAAGAACCAGAATAAAGTAATGTGTGACATCTTATATATGCTAATCAAAAATTGTTTTCTCATTGATATACGTAGTGTCTCGGACTTGTTGGATTACATAGCTCCAGATGCAGAGATGAAGGCTAGAGAAGCCCAAAAGAAGCAAGCTCGCGCAAAGGTTTGAGTTTCGACTTCTGTCGTTTGCATTTCCTAATATACACAACCATTTTCTTTTTAGTTTACATAACTGAAGTATCCTGTCCACATTTCCTCATTTATTGTACAGGTTAAAGGCAAAGCAGGGCAAAATGGGGGAATAGCTACGGATGAATTTGAGAAGGATGAACTTCTTTCTCCAAATAGTCCTGTTCTGGAGAACTCCAGTGATAAAGAGAACAAGTCTGAATTAGACAACAAACAGGAACTACAGATTGCAGACTCTACACCTAAGCAATCTGATCACATTTTGGTAGAACAGACACTAGTGGAGAAAAATGATGACGTGATACAAGAGGATACGTCTGAGGAAGGATGGCAAGAGGCTTTACCCAAAGGCCGTTCAATGATGGGGCGTAAGCTTTCTAGTTCTAGGAGACCTAACCTTGCAAAACTTAACACCAACTTCGCGAATGCTTCCCATTTACCAAGAGCTCGAGGTAAAGCCACTAATTTTACATCTCCAAGATCGAGTCCAAATGAATCTGCAACATCGTCTACGCCATCTCCTGCTTCAAAGAAGTTTGTGAAAAGTGCTGGTTTCAGCCCTAAGCTAAACAGTGCTTCTTCACCAGCTGCTTCTAATCCCAAATCGGCACCCATCAGCCCTGCTCCAACAGAACAAATTGTCAAAACCAATTCGATTGTCAGCTCAATCAGCGTTCAGGCAGCTGGAAAACTATTCTCTTACAAAGAAGTTGCTTTAGCTCCACCCGGTACAATTGTAAAAGCAGTGGCAGAGCAATTGCCGAAGGACAATAGTTCAGAACAAAACAAGGAAACTGTGGCAACAGATTCAACGCTGCCGACAACAGCGAGAAACAGTGATGGAGAGCAGGCTCAGAAAGTCAGTGAACAGAAGCAACATAATGATTCTGGTGGACAAACCAATCAAGAAGTCAATGACCCTCAACAAAGTAAAGCAGAAGGACTTGTATCAGCCAAATCTTCGGAGGGTACAAAAACTGACGCTTCTGGAGAGAAGGAAGGAGATGTCGTCACAGCTTCAGAAGTAAAGACTGCTGCTAAAAACAAAGGAGTAGACTCAGCAAATAGCTCGGTCACGGGGATCCAAAATGATGATTCTTCCACTGATGCAAATGTATCTCCCAAAGTTGATATGCCAGAAAGCAAAGCTGATAAAATCCCCGACACCTCTTCTGATTTTGAACCTGCTGCTGATTCGGCAACAGAGAAGGATGCTAGTTTTACAAATGCAGGAGCTGCAGTGGAAGAGAAGAATGATGATGAACCTACCGAAAATGCTAGTACTGTGCCTACTGAATCAGATAAGCAAGGTGATTCTGAGACTGCAAAAGAAACAGCCAAGAAACTTTCGGCCGCTGCACCTCCATTTAATCCATCGACTGTTCCAGTTTTTGGCACTATCCCAGCAGCAGGTTTCAAGGAGCATGGAGGAATATTACCCCCTCCTGTGAATATCCCTCCTATGCTTACCGTGAATCCTGTTCGTAGATCACCGCATCAGTCAGCAACAGCAAGAGTTCCTTATGGCCCACGCTTGTCAGGTGGCTATGGTAGGTCTGGAAATCGAGTTCCACGAAACAAGCCTGTTTTTCTCAATGGTGAACATAATGGAGATGCGAGCCATTTCACTACTCTTAGAATCATGAACCCACATGCAGCCGAGTTTGTCCCTGGTCAACCATGGGTTCCAAATGGCTTTCCGGTCGCTCCAAATGGTTACATGGCTTCCCCAAATGGTATGCCTGTTTCACCAAATGGATATGCCATATCACCAAATAGCATACCAGTGTCGCCAGATGGTTCTCCAGCATCTTTGAACGACATGCCAACGACTCAAAATGACCTTCCAGTTTCTCCGGTTGAGGCAGGAGACTCCCCTTCAGCTGTAATTGTGGAAGGTGCTGCTGAAAACCACGAGACGGCAGAGGCTGATGGGACCGACGTGGAACCCTCCAGTAGTTTGGTAACAGCCGACACAGGAAGTCAGCAGATCACACAGGATCAGGAAGAAGATGGGGAAAAACTGCAATCTGACATGCCTAAAGATGTTGACAAATCACAATGTGAAAATGGAGAAAAGTCTGGAGATACAGCTGCACCATCTGATGAGATTACTGCTTCAAAAGAAACATGCAACACTGATTCCCCTGAGGAGAAAGCAACCAAGCGTTGGGGAGATTATAGTGATGGTGAAAATGAGGTTGTTGAAGTAGCAAGTTGAAGAGTTACTACATTTGTGTTAAGAGCAGTGACCTGATCTTGGTCTATTAGTTTTGTCTCTTTACTTTACAGCAGACTGGGGAACCCCCTTAAGGACAGGAATTGAATTTAGAGTTACTTCCTGCTTAGGACACACGGTGAAGTTCAAAGTCCGGTAATGCGTCGACTTCCTGGTACAGTTTGAGTTGGTTGAAGCAAGCTTGGTGGAATTTTTTATTAGCTCAACCATAGGTTGCTGCACGGAGATTTATATCGAATCCTAAAGGAACTGAGTCTTTCCATGTATGTGTTAAAGTTCCATTTTTCTCTTCAATTTTGTGGGCTCGAACAGAAGAAGCAAAAGATTTGCAACTGTTTCGAGTTTGTCAGGTGATACACTTGAGATAAACAAATGGTGCATGAGAAGCAAATCCTCTTCTAAAATTGAGTTCAAGATTGTTTGTTTTCTCCTCACATACTTTTGCAATAACCAGGTTTGAATGCTGATTACCATCCTCTAATAAGTGATGCTTTATAGTTTAGTCTATAACTTTTTGTATAGTAAAGACAGCTTCATGGATTTTGTAATTTATCTTACCATCCTCCTTGAGTGCAACTCTTTGGCTTCTCGAAATCTACTCTTGACTTGCTTTTCTGAGCTTTGCATATGCATTTTAGTTATTACTTTCACAAATATTTTACCTGATCTAATTTATACTATTTATTAAATCCGTAATATATAAAAATAAGGCCATTGTTGCATAATAGAGCCATTCTGGAGGTAATATCTAATTGTTGCTAGGAATTATTTGACAATCAAGTATGAATTTCATAATCCAATTCAGTCCTTGAGTTAGTAACTTTTTTCCCCTCCATGGAGTTTGAGAAGATAAAACAGGGGAGCCCGGTGCACTAAGCTCCTGCTATGCACGGGGTCTGTGGATGGGCCGGACCATAAGGGTCTATTGTACGCAGCCTTACCCTGCATTTCTGCAAGAGGTTGTTTCCACAACTCAAACCCGTGATCTCCTGGTCACATGGCAGCAACTTTACCTATTACGCCAAGGCTCCCCTTCAAAGAGAGGAGTTTGAGAAGATAATAAGCAATAAATATGTAAACTTGAATATCATCTCATGAATGTCAGCATTTCAAGAGAGTCATTGGCATACTGGATAATTGAAAGTTCAAACAACATTACAAGGTACAAAAATTAAATTATATACAAATGCTGCAGTATATGGCATTAAAACCAACAAGAATGGTATTCTTCCTAAAATCCTAGTCATGTTAGAACATTGTTGAAGCTCAAATGCCCTTTTGTAGCCATGTCTATCATTGCATACCTGCATTGTAGGGTGGCCATCCTCGACGCCAATCCATAATAAGCAGGGAAGCTATGCAATGTGCTAAAGCTGCTGCAACGACGAATACATGGAAGATTTGATGGCTGTGTCCTACTAGGTCAAATGCACCAGGTTTGCATCTTTCTGGAAACCTTGTCATGTAAAATACTGCTCCAGTAGCATACAAAAGTCCCATGACTATCTCATATCCTAGAGCCACAAGTACTTGTGGATGATTAAAATGGAGGAAAAGGGCATGTGTAGCTGGAATCAGACCTGAGAAACCCATAGCAAGAAAGAGAGTAGCCCTAAATGATCTGAAACGACCGGAGAAAAGAGCCGGGGAAAGAAGGGTGATAATGACAAGTATGCCAAATATAGTAATGGTGGATAGGTAAAAGAGACACCAATATGGTTGAGAGCAGAAGATATAGTAAATGGGGCAAAAGAAAGAGCAGACTATCATAATAGAAATACCAGCATAATCTAGACGCCAAAAGAAGAGGCTAAATCTAAGTGAGTGACAAGCAAATAAGTGGGAGAGAGTGCTGCAGATTAAGCAGCTCATTGCTCCTCCTAAGAAAACAAACCATGGCCATATGGCAACTTCATAGCCATCTCCACTTACGTCTAAAATTGATTTTGAGACATGCTTGGCATAAGAATCCTGCAGTCAAATATCAAAGTAGATGATGTCTTGTTCTTGTAGTGCAATCTTCACATAAGCAAAACAGACGTAGTGGTCAAATACTAACACATCAATTAGCACCCTCTTTCCCTTACACTAAACTATGAAAGATAAAAATCTTGGCTTTACTCAATCAAAAGACTTTTTAAGTCCCGAGACAGATTTAGGGCGAGTTCCAGGAGTTAAACTAAACTCATTGCTTTCTGCTTGAACTATGTATGCATATACAAAATAAATTTATAATATGTAATCACACTTTTATTATGAACCTAGTGAATCTAGATCTTAGCTTCGCCTCTACTTAAGAAGCCAAGCTATTACGTTGCTAAAGTCATCAAAGCACAATTCTCACAATATCACTAGCTTAAATGACATTATTAGTTCGTTTAGCAAAAAAAAAAAATGTTAATTAAGGCTGTCAAATTTGGCTCTAGCCCAAATTTTAACCCATCTTGACCCAGCTCATCTTAGCTGAAGTAACTTTTGGGCAGGTCAAATATTGACTCAACCCACTTTGACCCGCTCAAAATCGGCCCAACCCCGCCCATTTGACACCCCTAATGTTAATACTTCCATTGGATTACGTTACTTTTTCATCTACATGTATAGGGGTGGCAGAATGGTTAAAAGAAAATAGTTAACCACCCATATCATCCACTAAAATATGGGTTGGATAATGAACTTGTTAAAGATCAAATATGGATAAGAACCATATTATCTATTTTCTAAATGGATAACCAATGGATAACTAATGGGTCTAACTTTTACATTTGTAAAGCCTCAAATTGGGAGTTCCTCAGGTTGGGAGACTAAGAATTCTCCCAAAAGTGATCATATGCAAGAATTCATTGATTTTACCCATATTATCCGCCGGTTAATCCGTTTTTTATCCGTATTAAATATGGGCCGGATCGATTAATTTATCCGTTTTTCATTACCCGTTTTCAATCCAAACTATATCCGACCTGACCCGCCCGCTTGCCACTCCTGTACATGTACAATGGGGTTCTCCCCTGCTGCCCGACATTGGTTACTAGGGGCTGTAATTGACATTAATAGTTTCTTTAGGAAATTTACTACAATTAAGGAGTTGATTGAAGGATTATCTCTTCTTCTATTGATACTTCCGGCCATGTCTTGTAGTCGACCGCATAGCTACCTAAAATTTAGCAAAATCACTAACGTACTCCATCTATATTTTTGAGCTAATTACTCCACAGTCCACATAGCATGTATTCAATAAAGTCCATTTTATTTGTCGTGATTACTTCAAATAACAAGTCTAAAATACTTGTCATTTTAAAAAATCAAGATGTAACTAATTATTATCTCTCACTTTGTCCTTAGTATTAATTGTCAATTAAGGACAAAAGGAAATCAGTAATAAAATATTAATTTAGATACCTATATTTATAATTCTACTGAAAATCCTATAATAAAACGTTGGACCTACAACACTCCTAACTTCTCGCTGACCGTTGTACCTCTCACGTCTGACACTGTCTCTAATCTTTGGGAAAACAAAATACATGGAACGGTATGGTTTGAGGAGGATAGTGTATACGTAAACCTTTTACCCCTATCCGATGGAGTAAAGAAGTTATTCCCGAAAGGCTCTCGGCTCAAGAAGACGAAAAGAGACAATATCAGTACCACCAATAAAAATCATAGAAAAAATAATATCATGAAATCATAAAATAGATGCAAACCAAAAGCGATGGCTATTACATGGACCCGGCACTATAAAAAACTACATAAAATAGGTTTTCTTTGACCATGTTTCCCACTAAGATGAAACATTTACACAAATAAATTATTCACTTATTAATTAGGTCATTACAGGTAATTCTTTTAGTAAATATCACCTATTATCATAAGTTAAGAATTTACTGATAGTATAAGAAACTTTTTACTATGTAACTTTAATCAATATTTCCCAAACCGGTGTGGCATAATATTGGGTATATTGTTGTTGTAACTTTAATCAATATATATAATATACATAATGATTTTTAAGTTTTTAATTTTACGCTTAATGAAAAGTTTTTATAGTTACAGAAATATCATATAGATCACAAAGTATAAAAAAAAATCATTTCTTTCTTAAATTTAGTATATAATCAAACAATGACACACCTTAAAGATGATCGGGAAACTCACCGGAAAAGAATCAGCGGATCCATTTTTCTTCATTGTCATCCACTGTCCGTCACCCGTCGGTCTGTTTATCATTATTTAACCATTTTAAACAGCTGAAATTACAAAACTAGCCACAAAACAGTCTGCAAATTACTTCAATCGAACCTGAAAATGCCGGAAAATAAATTTTCCACCGTCGCCTTCTCCGTCAAGCTCATCGCCGTTAACGTTACAAATATCACAAAACCTCCCAAATGCCTAACAAAAATTTGAAAAAAAAATTAAAAAAAGAAGAAGAAGAATCCAAATGCAACAAATTTAAATTCAAAATTTTGAATATTTTTAAAATCTCACGTCCAAATATTGAGAGTTTCATTGTGCCATGAAAATACGCTGAGAGCAATATCCTTAAGAGGCCATTCACAACGATAATAATCTCTGATAAATTCATTATCTTGGAGATATTCAGGTAATGCCTCGTATTTCACCAATTTTCTTCGATCTAATTTTTGACCATTTTTTGTTACGTTATTGATTCGATCTCCTGAGTCAACTCGTTCGCCATTGCTGAGTTTCGAGATCTTCTTTCCTCCTCTTCGTTTCATGTTAGCTCAATTTCTCCGACGTCGTGGACCTCAGTTTCCGGCGAATTTTCGCCGGAAAACGTTGAATGAATGTGTTTGAGAAAATGCTAATATATCTAACTGTTACCAATGATGTGGAGCTAGTTGAAAGTTGGCATATGCATACAAATATTTATAGTAGTAAACGACGTGCGGCCTCTAATTAATATTTTTTCATATTTTTAATTGATTTTTGATTAGTTCAATTGGTTTTTTCCAGGGTGTTTTTGACTAATATAAGAAAGACACCTGTAAACATATTACATATTTGGTAGATTTTGTTGGAGGAGAATTTATTTCCTCATATAGTAGAGATTTGCAGGATTTTTACTCGAGATTTTAAGTATGCCTTTGGATATAAAAATTATAATTTTTGAAAAAAATAGTATTTGAAGTTAAGTTGAAAAAAGGTATTTGGAATTTTAAATTATATTTGGATATGCTTTTCACTTGAAAAAATATTGCAGTTCCTTATAGCCTGTTTGCCAAACTTCTAAATCAGCTTATTTTAAAATTAATTTGAAAGTACTTTTGGTGAGAAACAGTCTGTGTTTGGTTAATTAAATTAAAAAATACTTTTAAAAAAATAATTAGTGATTAGCCGAGTTTTTAAAAAGTACTTGTAATGTATTCCCTTAAAATTGCTTTTCAAACAAGTACTTTATAGGAGAAACTGCAATTTTCAGCTTTACATGTAAATTTTCTGTTTCTTTTTGTGAGTAGCCATTTTGTTGTTGAGTGGTAAATAAAAATTTAAAAAATTAAAAATACTAGTAGTAAACAAGAATGAAATTTCAAAGTTGGGGGGAAGGTGAGAAATGTAGTATGGGTGATAGGTTCATTTTTTATTCTTCGATAAAATGGCTGTGGCTAAATTTAAAAAATATATTTATTTTCTTGAGTAATTTTGAGTTTGACTATTAATTGTGTTTTCCTATTTACATTTTTTTTTAAATAAAAAAAGTACTTTGCTGGCTTTTGCCTAGAATTGGTTGGCGAATCATTTAAAAAAATCCTTTGCTGGCTATTCCTTAAGTTAAGATGCCTTAGAGCATCACTCGAAGTAATACAACTCGAAATATATAATAAAGTAAATACTTAAAAAATCTCATTAGAGTTAAAACAGAATCGTACCTATTAATAAAACGCTAAAGGGCTAAATATATCCCTATATTATGAGAAAATATTTAAATATACCCTTTGTTATATTTTGGGTCCAAATATAACCCTGTCGTAATACTATTGGTTTAAATATGCTCCTCTTCTGTTAAGTTTGTCCAAGGTGGATATCCAATTCTACTGAGCACTGATATTTGATGAGGTGGATGTCACATGGCATGCCACCTCAGCGCCCCTAATTAATATATAAAAGACTAAAATTTATATACAATATTTTTCATGGTAGCTGTAATGGTGGCAATAGTGGTGGAAGAGAAGAAAATTTTAGTGGAGGAAAAAAATAGATGGGTGGGATAAAATAGGTTATGTGCACTGAGGTGGCAAGTTATGTGGCATCCACCTCATCAAATGTCAGTGTCACGTAAGATTGGATATCCACTTTTGACAAACTTAACGGAAAATGAGTATATTTGAACCAATAATATAACGACAGGGATATATTTGGACTCAAAGTATAACGAGGGATATATTTAAACCTTTTCTGATAGTACAGCGGCATATTTGACCCTTTTCCGTTAAGAAAAATATCTTCTTTTTTAAGTAGAACTTGCTCTAAAATCTTTTAATCCTTTTGTTAAGATCCTACAAATACAAATATATAGAAGTATTTACGAAAACATTGGGAGAATATTCTATTATTAGGGGAGACGTTAATTTATTTATCTCCAAATTTCAAAGAAAAGCAAAACAAGGATCACTCCAAAGATTTTTGAAGCAATAAATTTGTCTCTTAAAAGCAACAACCATAATTAATCAATTAACTTAGCCTTGCATTAAGGCCACCTCGCCAATCTTAGAAGTGAAAATTGTAATATGCACACCACACAAGCAAATTGGTTAGGGTAAAAGTAAATATATAGAAACAAACGTAGAGGAAAAGGAAATTAAAGGACTATAAATATAAAGTTAACTCACCGGAAAAGAAATTAAAATTTAACACTAAAACACAATTTGAAGTATTTTGATTTTTTTGTCAATGGTTTTTTTAATATATTGAACCCATTCTGAGTGCACCATCTCAAGCTTGGTTGTTAGAGCAACATTGAGTTTTGACGGAGAAAGTCATGATTAACTCCGATGTAATATCTCTAACCGTGCCATCAATTTCTGCTTTACTATTCTCACTCAAGAAACTACCATCTGTATTGATTTTGACTCTATTGTCAATGATTAACTCCCCTTTGTCAATGATTGTAAGACATTAATAAAGGGTTTTCAACTAGTGCCTGTTTTTTTTACACTCTGTTTGGATTACTGTTCTTCATCGTTTTATAATGTATCGTATTGTACTGTATTGTATTGTATCGTATCGTTTTATGAATACAATGTTTGGATATATTGTATTGTTCGTTGTTGTTAAATAACATTTTGCTGTTTGGTTTGACTGTATCGTACTGTACTTTAACTGATAAGTTTACTACAATACCCTCAATTGTTTTAAATATTTAATTTATCAAAAATTACACATAAAAATTATTTAAGAAATCCACTTTCTACTAACTAATCACTAATTATGTCTTATATATAAATTAAGCAATTAAATTCATGCAAATTCTATCGAAATTAGTTGAACAAGTTAATAATATTAAAAATAATAATAAGTACACTATATTTATAATTAGATCATAATAATAAAAAATTTTAAAAAAAAATATTAAGTAGACTCCATTCAGACAAAAGTAAAACAAAACATTTACCTGAAGAGTATGGAGAAGCGGCAGAAGAACAAAATGAGTTTTTCACGTATGTAGGTTATTATATACTAGGTTATATTTGGGATGTCGTCTTGAGAATTTATATCGGTTATTAGATTTCATGTAGAATTCTATTACAAAATTATGTGAGAAAGAGACTTTGCTATTATTTAAAATAAAAAGGTAAAGAGTAAAATAGAATTATAAAGTAATAAGTCAGGGCATAATTAGAAAGAAAAATAGGAAACAATCCCACCACACCAAATCGGTTGTTTCAAAAAATAGAACTTTTCATTGTTCCGGAGCAATGGATTTAACAATACAATACAACCAATTTTAACTAAACAATCAAAACAAACATTGTTCGGTAAAAACAATACAATACGATACAATAGGTAACAACCATCCAAACAAGGTGTTAGTTAGAAAATCAGCGAATCAAGTTACTCACGTTTTAGCTACGGCTTGTTCGATAGAATGGGGTCGGTCCCACCATTTTTTATTACTGATGTACTCGCACGGAGTTTGAGAAAAAAAAAGATTTTTAAAATTTGTGATTTTAAAAGCTTAAGGGGTAAAAACTTTGTGGGCCCATAATATATGTGTGGTTATAAAAGTTTATCATTAAGGGTAAAATTGGTAAAATAAAGAGTTTAAAGTTGAATTATTTCTAAATTTAGAAATGTATCATTTATTTTGGAACAGACGAAAAAGGAAAACACCTTATTTAATTTGAAACAGACGAAAAAGGAAAACACCTCATTTAATTTGAAACAGACGGAGTAATTGAGAAGACACCTTTTCCCAAAAAAAAAAAAATATAGTTAACAGTAGATCAAGAAAAAAGATTTACGCCTTTGTAGCCAGTGATGGAGTCATATTAGTCGAGGGTGGTTATTGATTTTTTTTTTGTTAGAAAATTATACTGTATATAAGCAGATTTTTTTTCCTTTTATGGTATGTCGAATAAACGATTTTCAGAAAACACTTTTGGTCATAAATTTGACTGTTAGCTGTGACATTTTTTGAATTCCCTAGTTTCAAATCCTGCATCCGCCCCTATTTGTAGCACAAGTTGATTAGGTTCTAGAGAAAAGAGAAAAGATATTGTTGAGAGTAAAATTATACATCTAATTTTTAATACCAAATCCAGAAACTTTAAAACATGTCTATCTATGGGATGAGGTGCCTAATATAACCTCTCATTTAAGGCAATCACATGTTATGTGTAATAAAATTGTTAGTAAAATGTTTAGCCTACTCAAATTTTTGACCATAAATGCCCACCCAATCACATGAAAATCATACAGTTGATAGGAACACAAGCTAAAAAAAGACAACAATGGCTTTACAATTGAATAATGGTGTTTAGATTCATGAGATGAATATATAATTATATTATTTTATAAAGGAAAATATTATTTGGTTATATATTTGTAAATTTTTGGCGCGGCAATGTTGGATGACACCTCTTGTAGAAAGGTGCTTCTGCCACGGGACATTCCCACCATCCGATAGGGGCGGAGCTACAATTTTTGGCGCAACGATGCTGGATGACACCTACAACCTCTTGTAGAAGGGTGATTCTGCTTTTGCCACACGACATTCCCACCACCCGATAGGGGCGGAGCCACAATTTGCGGCGCAATAATGTTGGATGACACCTACAATCCCTTGTAGAAAGGTGCTTCTGTCACAGGACATGCCCACCGAGGGGCGGAGCCACAATTTTTGGCGCAACGATGTTGGATGACACCTCTTGTAGAAGGGTTCTTCTGCCACAGGACATTCCCACCACCCGATAGGGCGGAGCTACAATTTTTGGCGCAACAATGGCTTTTACTGTTTAGATAGGTAAAAGTTATTTTTGTAAGTATATATATATTATGTATTGAATTTCCATGACTTGTTTGTATATTTACTTCTTAATGAAAATCCTAGCTTCGGTGCTGCATAAAAGAAGCTTCTTCTATAGTAATAGTAAAAGTGGCTAAAAATTTCTTAAACTTACCTACAAGGTACTTCTATGTTAAAAAAAAGAATCAACAGTGAGTTTCAAGAGATCCCAAAAAGGAAAACAAATTAAATTCAAGACAGAGGAAGTAGAATAAATTAATTAGAAATATCTGCAAGATTCCTAAGTCAAGCAATTAAAAAGAAGATAGACAAAGGAAAAATCAAGAAATAGTTGATGTAATCTAGACATCAGAGCAAAATCTCTGGGATATAGTTCTTTAT